TATAGAAGTTTAATGAGCTTATTGAAGTTTGACGAATTAAATCGATAAATATTACAAATTGTTTAGTATATATATTAAACTAAACTGTAAAGTTCAACTATAAGGCTATAAAAGTTCATTAAATGCTTATTCAAAATCCATTTTAAGAATTAGATATGCCGTTATTAATTACCTGATATTTATCATTAAATTTTATAAATTTTCTGTCAGAAGTAGAAATAAATATATCATTCTGGCATACTGCCATAGCCTCAATAGGGGAACTATCATTATTCTTGTACTTCCAAACTATTTCTACACTTGGCACTTTCCACTCCCTAAGCATTCCATTCTCATCTGCAGTCAAAATATGGTAATCGTCTCTCCATATAACTTTTACTATCTGTTAAAAGAAATGAAGTGTAAAAAGATTGTTAAAAGAAGAACTCACAGTGTTATGGTTCAACTTAGTGCATTATTAAAATCAAAAGAAATTTATATCATACTGCCGAAACAAATTGTACAATGATAAAATTATTATTATTATTATTATTTTCTATTTAAGNTTGCAAACATACTATTTGTTTTGAAACTTAAAATTTTGAAAATGATTAAAACATTGAAGAAAAATGCTAAAACATAAACATTTTTAAGAATTTTATTTTTAAAAAAAGTCAGAATAAAGTCGGAAATTAATGTCGATACTTACATACATAGTTCTTTTATAGTCATTTCATAAATATCAATACGATCATGTTACTGTAAAAGACCGGAATCATTGAATACAGATATTCACATAGTTCCTTTGTAAACATCGGAAATGAATCCTAAGTTTATCTTAGTTGAAAAAATGTTTCTCAAATTTTCACTATTAAAACACTCTATTCACCATTATATGATGACAAGGTATAAAGGGAGAAATTACTATATAACAAATTTTGTCTAAAATTCACCATTAGTGTATGCCGAATGTCGACATTTGTCATTGTAAATGGGAAGCAATTTATTTAACAAATATGTTGATCATTCAATAGATTTCGTGGGGAAAAAACATATTAAAATCAGTTCTATAAACGTGATATTTATAGATGTAAGTGAGAAACGATGATATTTAGCAAATATTTTGATCATTCAATACATTTCGTGGGAACAGACATATTAAAGTCAGTTGTTTAAAAGTGATACTGAATGTTGATGGGAGTGCTGATGAGCAAACATTTTGATCATTCAATAAATTTTCTGAGAACTGACATGATAGTATCAGGTTTTTAAAAATATTCACAGAAACAACCTAACTGATTGATTTCAGATTTTAGATATTAGGATTTAAAAAAACGTTAGATGCTGTACATTTTCATGTCAGAAGACGTCTGCGTATGAGCAAGTCTGCCAAGTTTGCATGCAAAATTGTTTGAGATGAGAGAAAAGATGATGGTTTGTTTTGTTTTCTGTGTAAAGGCTCACTTTATATGTCAGAAACATTACCACAACTCAAAGTAGAATCATTCAAGGGTTGTGAATTCTGCAGTTCGAAACGAAAATTTTATACTTTTTTGGTACTGGTAATACTGGTAGTAAATTTTTAATTTACTAGTAAGCATAAAGCACCCTAAACTAATGTTTTGCCTCGAAAAAATATATATTTCATCATGTTCTTTCAACCCGTAATCCTTGTATTTTTTCATAAAAATAAAATTTATCCCATAGAATAAAATCTTTCAAACTAAACTATGCATAATAATACAGAGAGACTCTTAAGTTTGATTTTCGAAACCTTTAAAGTATTTTCAGTAATATATTTAGTATTTTAAAACATTGGAGTGGCTTAAAAAGAACTTAAATACTTTTGCTAAGAACTATTAATACCATTAAGGGTCCCATTCTGAAAAATGAAGGATTCCACTTCCTCCATGTTTACCGATGGAGATATCCAGAATTGACTTATTAAATTTACTAAATATTATGCTTGAATATTTTTAAAATTTACTTAAATCTGTTTTCTAGTGAATTTAGCTTCCGAATGTTAAAATTTGAGTTAGTAAAATACTGGGTAGTTGTAACTTTGATATAGCCATAAAAAAAACTACTGGACAAAGTTTTATCGAACTTGGTAATAGCTTAAAAGGGGTCATCAAAATTTATTTCCCACCAAAAAAGTTTAAAAACTCACCACCAGGTGAAAGAATGGTGCGGTATGCAATATTATTAAATGAAAGAAAAGTCGAAATTTAACTTAACTTACTGTTGCACCTGGAAGGGGAAGGAAATCTGCTTTTGTGGAAACCGAAAAGGTTGTTGTGTTGATAATGCGGTATAAAAAAAATGGCGATTTTGAAAGATGCGATACACCGACTTGTTCAAACATTTCTCCTGTTATGCTAAGAGTTACTGTTGAGAATGCAGTAATATGATTTAACTTGTTTTCGGGAAATGGTGAACACCACTTTGAAAACGCTTTAAAAGACGTTTTACAAACGACTAAACACATTTTAAACCGATGTCTTTCATCCTTATACCGTTTTACAATATTCCATTCAATGTCATTTCCCCCTGGTGTTGAATTTTTCAACCTATTTTCTTCTTTCCGGAAAATAAATTCCCATGACCTTCTTAAAACTATTACTTAGTTTAATAATATTTGGTCCACTAATTTTTCTTTTATGAATATTTCGAAGTGGAACTTTTAATTATAGCCACCCTGTATTTTAAAGAACTTAAACTTCGTAAAACTTTAAATTTCAAATTGTTTTCAGAATACTTACAACTTCAAAAGGCAAAATTATTCAACTAAGTACATTATGACTCACATTAATGAATAATATGAAACAAAAAAAATACTATCAGTAACTTAAAAAATAACGAAATTCTGAATGTGTAATTCTCCGTTGGTTAACATGATGAAAGTAGAATCTTTTTTCTTGTCTGAAAGAGAACCAAAAAAAAATAATTGAAAATAATAATTTTTAACAATAATGATAATTATAATAATTATTTTAAATAACAATGCGATCAATAAATTTAGAAATAATCGAAAACTCACCTTTGGCTCTAAATATTCAAATGTTACTAACTGATTGAAAGTAATACTATCATATAAGCTGATAGTATTGAGAGAAAATGCAGCTATATATCCACCAGTCGGAGAAAAGCAAACCTAAAATTTAAGGGAAAAAATCGTGATAGAATAAAAATCAGTTACATAAATTTGAAATTAACTTCCCACATTTTTGCAAAACTTTAATGGAAAACATGACGTTCCAAAAGTGTTTTATGCTTTAAACTGAGACAATTTTGTAAGATTATGTAGGAAATTACATTTTCAAGTGAAAATAATTTTTGCACCTGTCACTTTCTTGAGATAAATTATAAAGCTGACAATGCTTCTTAATCAAGAGATAATTGACTTCTTTATATTTCGCTTGACAGCAAACAAACGTAAAAACAAACATGATTTTAAAGACTGAAAAAGTTATCGGTTTTTGAAACAAACAAGATTACAGATTACAAACACGACTGTAATTATAATGAAAGTTGTAATCACGATTACAAGTAATTGGTTACTGCAATTGGTTGCTGTAATCACGATTACAGTGGTAATCAAAATTACGATGTGATGTAATCATGACTACAGCTAATTGGTTACTGTAATCAAAAGATGTAACCGATTGCATTTTTGCCCAACTGTAGTTTTCTGTCACACAGGGATTTCCTACAAGCAAGGAAATAAATGAAAAAAAGTACCAAAGAGTACTTTTTTATTCATTTCCAATGATGGTACCAAAATGTACCATTGTAATTGTTTCTGATGATTATTTTTTTAGCTCTGAATCGAATGGATTAAAATTAAAGTCGATAAAAATTGTTTCGAAAGTCATAAAAGTGCTTAATCAAGAGTACTATTTTGTACTTTTACCTACTGACAAGCCTGACTTTGCTGTAGAGACAAGTGAGACATTGTAATTTGCATACTTTTATGATAAATACATTAAGATAAAAATGAAATCAATCAATAAAACTTATAGGTTCGAAGCTATAAGACGCATATACAGGAATACATAAACAGGTATAAATCAAAAACTAAACGTTCTGTCAAACGCTTAAAAAAATAAGAGGAAAAAAGATGAATTACTTTGAATAACTTTGATCTAATGATTGGATTTTCGAGTACTAGAACTCAATATTAATAGTTTGAGTGAGTGACTTCAAAATTATGCTAATTAGGTAGTATTTATATGATTTTTTAAGTACGTATTTATATGATATTTTAAGGTACAAAATTACACACACAAAAAATATTTTTTCCGAATAAACATACCTTTTTTTCAACGGATTTTAATTTCTTATTTCCAAAATATAGGAGGTTTTCGCAATCTTCTAAATATGGCTCTAATAGTTTGGCCAGGAAAGCGATCGGAAGCTTAAACCACTTGATGTAAATTTTACATTTTACTAAAATTGCCATACCTCGAGAATTTTTATGTGAATAGAAAAATTTTAAATGAATATTTAATTGAAATTTGATTGAATGTTTAAAATTCAATTTCTCAGGAACTAATCGATTGATTTCGCTAAAAATTTGCATTTTGCCATTTAAAATTACATTTTTTAAATGAAAAATTTTACACCTTGCACTGCAAAAATATATCGACGATTATTAAACAAAATAATAAATTATTTTTAAAAATCATTTTTTGCAAGAAACTACCTTTGGCTAAACGAACTTTATAATTGCGTGTGGAAAAAATTTCAATTCGTTTCAAAATTTCTGGAGATATTGCGAAATTCATAAAAAGTAAAATTAAGATTAAGGAGTTCAAACTTTCGAACGCTCTCCTTACCTAACGATTAAAGCCATATTTCCCAGATTACAGCCACCCCCTTTTTTCAGAGTAAGGAGTCTAAATCAGTCGAAAAAAGATATGTTTATTCAGAGAAAGTACGGTTTTCGCGTATGATTTCGTAACTTAAAATATCGTCTACCCTAATTAAGTAGTATATTTAAATTAACTCTATCGAACCATTTACATTGGATCCTAGAACGTAAAAATACGATCATTAGATCAAAAGTTATACAGTTATTATAAGTATTATAAAATTTTTCTGCGCACTGTGCATAGCAAAGTAAGAACTCAGTTTTGAGATAAGCTATATACAGATATTTTACTTTGGAAAAATAAAAATATCTTAATCATTTTAAATACAAAGTTTACTACGTTTAGGTAATTAAACTTTATTTCTACAAACGAAATAAATATTCATTTTTTTATGTCTTTCATAATTCTCATTTGTAATTTCGAAAAAGTAGCATTAGAATAGGTTAATTCACTATAGAGAAAATAAAAATAGTACGTGCGATAATAAAATAAAAATAAAAATAGTAAAATACGATAAAGAAAATAAAAATAATAAAATACGATCATTAGATGAAAAGTTATACAGTTATTATAAGTATTATGAAGTTTTTCTGCGCACTGTGCATAGCAAAGTAAGAACTCAGTTTTGAGATAAGCTATATACAGATATTTTACTTTAGAAAAATAAAAATATCTTAATCATTTTAAATACAAAGTTTACTACGTTTAGGTAATTAAACTTTATTTCTACAAACGAAATAAATATTCATTTTTTTATGTCTTTCATAATTCTCATTTGTAATTTCGAAAAAGTAGCATTAGAATAGGTTAATTCACTATAAAGAAAATAAAAATAGTACGCAACAAAAAAAACTGTAATTTAATGAGATAGTTCTAAATTTCGGGATAAAAGCATGAGATTAGGTTAATTACTGTAATAAGAATAAGAGCAGTGTTATGCAACAAAACGACCTTTAATTAACAGAGATAATTAAACATTAGACCATCTGGCCAAGCTATATTATATTATAGCTGTTGGAAACATTTATTAATTATGACATAAAGTTCTGTAAGTGTAAGAAAAATTATTTTCAGTCCAAATTGATATATCACCGCAACATGATATTTTCTCTATGGTAGATTTTGTCGATTCCATCCTATAAATATTAAAATGAACAAATTGGACCGATAGCGACATTTTAATAAATTTGAATAAATCAGCTTTAAAATTTATGAGTTCATAAAGATTATACCTTGCATAACTTATCCATAAGTTTAAATAAACTCGAAACGGGCTATAATTTCATATACAAACTTGCCATAAATAATTATCAGGGCTTTAGAACGAGCAAATAGCTTAATAATTTTTAAAACTCGTCAATTTGGGGTACCTAGAAGAAAAATCTTAAATAAATAATTCCATGTTTTCTAATTTTTATGAGCCTAGTAAAAGCATTGAAGGTTTATCTTTTAAAATGTTAAAAATGTAGGTTACAAACTCTTTTTTAACAAAAATGTAGTCTTTTTCACATTGACTTGTCATTTTCATTATTCGCTTTAAAAGCGTAAGATAACGATACTTAAAACTTAACTTAATGGTCATTCAATAACTATTACAAAACTTAAAAGTGCTTAAGCAACCATATTATTCATTAAAAGGCGTTAGTTAACACGAAAATAGAGCATTTGAAAACCAATTGTTTACGTTGAGGTTGCTCGTCAATCTTATGTTGTCAAATGTATTTGAATTCCTCATTCACGCCAAAAATACTTAATTGTCATTTTATACTTTCATCCATTGAGATGAAATGAAATATCTATTTAAAAATCGATTATTGTTGTAGTTCATTTACGTCGCACTAGAGCTGCACAATGGGCTATTGGCGACGGTCTCGGAAACATTCCTGAGGATGATCCGAAGATATACCATCACAATTTTGATCCTTTGCAGAGGGAATGATACCCCCGCTTCGGTAGCTCGAAGACCTGAACGCGAAGTCGAGCACTTTACGATAGAACTGCTTAACGAGGACCAATACAGCACACCCTAGGTCCCTACGCAGACTGATCCAAGTGGTCACCCACCCGTACGCTGACCGCAGCTAGTAATGCTTGATTTCGGTGATCTGCTGGGAACCGTGTCTTAACTATCAGTCCACTGCGGGACAAAATCGATTGAAATAAGAGTGTAGGGTAATATTTTTTCCCAAAAAAAATTTTTTTTTTTAAAAATAGCACCTAAAACCTTCAGCTCTTCTATTAACATAAACGAAACTAATTGAAAAAAATTTTTATAAGTATTTAAGAAAAAGGGACTTCAATGAAATGATACAGTATCAGTTACAACTGTACAGTAATTAATTACAACAGCAATTGATTATAGATAATTTCTGCTATATAGTCAATTACTTGTAATCACTATTAAAGGCAATTGTGACTACTAGTAATCGTGCTCTCTGATTAAGTTAATTGATGTTTAACTTAATTGAGTTTATCGTGCAGAATATTATAATACGCTATTCATCAAAAATTTTATTGTAATAAAAATATATATTGTAAAGAAACGGTTGTGTTACCACAGACATCTTTTTCTCCTTACGAAGGTTGACCTCCTGGAGTTTATCGTGCAGAATATTATAAGCACGCCATTCATCACCAAATCCAATTAAAACAATTGTACCCAGTGGATGAAGAGAGACGCATATTGGAACAGAATTTAGTTCGCTTCGATGATAAACAATCCTATAAAAACATTCGTTGTAATATTTTTACATAAAAAAAGAAAGTGTAAAAAAAGTATGTAAGGTTTTAAATTTTCTTGAGATTTATTTTCCTGAATAATATTCAATTTTTTTAACTAAACAATCTAAAGCACATGTGAATATTTAATAAAAACGACATAAAAATAACAGAAACCCTCTTTTGTTCTCTTCACGGTAAAAACATCTGAACAACAAAAATAGTGGTAACTAAATCTGACAATTATTCGCCTTTAAACTTCTAATAAAGGTCCAAAAGCATGTGTTATTCGTTGAAAATTTGCCCAACCATCACTTCCCACAAGACTTGAGTTACTTTTTTTAAATATGTGCTAATTACTCTCCACGTTTACGGAGCCCCGAAAAACACTACATTCTTCACCAGCAAGGTTGGTGCTCACTTTATCAGTTATTGATATTAAGTTTTAACTGCACGTGTTCCCTTTGAAGTTTGTAAGAACGCTTGATTCGGTATTAACTTGAAATTAAGTCATCATTCAAACCCTTTTTAGAGTTTTTCAATACTAAATTCGGATAGGTATTACACCTACAATCTTTGCAGTATAGTGCGAGCATGGATGGTGTTTGAAGAAATTTCCTTAACTGAGTTTTTAAGTTCATCATTGATGTGTGTTGTTTTTAGTTTAATGCCTTTGTTATGCTTTATATATTACTTGGAGGCTCCGCCCCCTGCTCGCTAACGCTCGCCAACCCCCGAAAATTGCTACGCAATCCTATGTGGTTCACGCCGTGAACAATGGCTCGCTGCGCTCGCTCGCCAATGAACACAATGTTCTAGCACAAAGACATAATATATTATCATCAAAGACATAGTATTTTATCATCAAAGACATAGTATTGTACTTATGTAGAAGAATTCTACCAATGTTCTTATTGGCTTTTAAAAAAGTATATTAGCTATTTAGATTGTACATGGTGAAAAAATCAAAACATTAGCTAAATAAGAAACATATTAGCAAAATAAATTATCAAATATTGCTTCACTAATATTCTGCATTTTAAAGCGTGAAAATTCAATGCATAAATAAACGCGAAATATAAAAAAATTCAATGCATTCAATACAAACACTTAAACGTTTTTTAGACGTTTAGGTAGCTCCCAGTAGAAAAATATCAATTCAACAGCGGCCTTTTAAAGCATTCTCACTTCAATTAATTAATTAATTCCTAATTGAGTTTAAATTAAATATTGTCATGTTTTTAGTGCATGAATCTGAATTGAACAACCTGATAATGCTCACTCTGGTTATTGTTATCTGGTTGCTCACTACGTGCTCTTGCGCGCCGAATCCAATCAATTAAAAATGAAAACTGTTGCCAGCGCGAGAAAAGAAATATCATCGGTTTTATTGATACATACATACGTACGTATTAGCGTTTTATATAATATAGATGCTTTTTTTCACAATATTATCTATAAACAACTATTGTTCAGGATCATAACAATAAGAGCTTACTTATTTAATAAATTTTGGTACCAACTTTACTATGACTTATTAAGTTATCTAGATTCTTTTTTCTTGCTTGTTTGTTTGCTTATTTTGAGTATTGTAAATTTGATCATCTTTGATGATATACATTAGTCACATATAAAATATTATAATAATAATAATGGTCTACTTTTAAATTTAAGTGATGTCTCATATAAGAACACTCTCTCGCATTCAATAATATTAATGATATATATCATTTATAATTAAATTTAAAATACTGAATATTAGTAAAATATTTTTGCCTTAAAAGAAACGGGAATTTATATTTTAACCCAATGCAAGTTGCATGCATTTAAAAAACATAAATTTTTTTTAATGGGTTACAGTATCTTTGCTAAAAAAATTTTAAAAAAAACGTATAACCATTCTTTTTGTGGATGCTTTACATGCTCATTTGACTTTTAATCAATAATTTATCTTCAAAAAATAATTAAATTGTTTAATTTTATTTAAATTTTTAAAAAAGTTGAAAAAAATTCAAAATTTTTAAATCCCTAAAGCTTTTTTATTTTTGCATATTTCTAAAAAAAGAATTTTTAGATGATATTTTTATTTATTATTTGTAAAAAAGTAGACAAAAAAGGTTTAAAATTCCTGTTAGGTATGTATAACATGCTGCAAAAATTTTAATACCTCATAAAATGCTTATTCCATGCACAGTTTATGTAAGTGTATTATACTAAAAATAAAAAAGTTTACTTCAAAGCTTTATCTTAAATAGAAAAAATTCCTTAGGGATTTAATTAAGATTAAAACACAAATTTATCATCTATGAGAAAAAGCACTTTAAAGTCTGCCTGCTGAGCAACTTTCTGTATTAAAGCAATTTAAAATCATTCATAACTTTTTCAAAAATGTAGATAGAGAGATGGTTTTTTCAGTGCATTTGAAATAGTTTAAAGTTTCATTATAAGCAATTTAAAAAAATTCGATATTTTTGTCATATTTTGGGTACTGTGACCACTTAATTGTTGCTTTGCCTGAAACATCTTAGCATAAAATGTGAATACATAATAAAACTAATTTAATTCAAGGTCATAAAGAAACTTCAGAATTTTTTAACTTTTCAGACATGGTGGAATAACCCAATATCGTTTTACTAGGAATCTTAATATCTATAATCTTATATCTATGTATCCCAAATCCAAAAATTATATCTAATCTTATAATTATATTATATGCCTTAAGAATAAATATCGAAATATATCTAAATAATATTCTTACCCAAATACTTTACTAAATTTAGATACATTTACCCAGATAATTTATTAAATTTAGATATGCTTACCCAGATACTGTATCAAATTTAGATATACCTACTCACCTATTTTGTCAAATTTAGATATACTTAGCCACATACTTTACCTGATTTAGATATATTACCTAGATACTTTACAAGTTTAGACATATTTACCCAGAAAATATGTTTCTTATGATGATTGCAATTGAAGAGCAGGTAGCCTGAAGAGATATCTGCATTACTGTATCAGAGCAAACTATACTTTTGATGTGTTGTCGATCTAGAAGCAAACTAAATTCTTCTTCATATGGCTTTATCTGAAGAAGAACATTCCATATTTATATAAATTATCACATTATTTTATAGTTGCCAATATCAAATTCAAAATCAGCTGAAGTTTTACAAATGAAAAACTTAGCTGAGCAAAAGTGCCGAAAAAGTGAACTCCAAATTAAATGCAGTTTTTATTCTATTATCATGCCAAGTAGATAATTTTCAGTCATGTATAAAACAGCAAAAGTAAAATTAATAAAAGTCTTTAAGAGTCTTATATGCAGCAGTTCCTTTTTATATATTAGATGGAATTTTAAAACCAAATTTATCATAGTTCAGGATACAACTAATATCCTTCTTTTCAAAGCTTGGTTCTATAAAGCTTTAGCTTTAGAAAAATATGAAGAAAAAAATGCTAAAAGCGTTTAAAAAAAAACACTGTTAGAATTTTTATTCTAAAATTACGGTAAAATAATCGGTAGCAATTTTCCCAGCCAATTAACCGTAAAGTTTACGGTAAAGAACAATTTTTACCTTTACGATTTTGAGACCGTTTCAAATTAGTATGGTGAATAAACCATAAATGCAAAATTATACGGTTTTGTAACCATTTACAACTAGTATGTTTTCAAAACCACAAAAAAGACATTTAAATGGGCATTAGAGCTAGGATTTCATAAGGCAATGGGCATTGGAGTTAGGTTATTGTTGAGTTGTGTTTTATCAAATAAACAGTGAAATAATGCTTAATTAGTTTATCTGGTTGTTTTACCTACCATAAGAGAGGAGAAATACGAGACTTTTTGTATTATGGTGCTGCCATATGACGTGTTATGGTACTGCCATCCTTACGTGAATGAGAGTATCGTAATCTAATAAACCAGGGTCACAAACTGGGAAGTGCAAGACTCTGGAAACTCTTCATCTTTGAATAGAATGGAAGAAATATTGTGGTGTCAACGCTGGGACTCGAACCCCCGTTCTGTTGGTCATGAGACTAACAGATTATCTAGCCTCCTCGGCTGTAATATGTTCCCAGTTGTTAAGAATTAGTGGTTTCATTAGGTGGGTCTAGTTGATGCGATAAAATTCTGGTTGTTTAACCGCATTAAGCACAAGCATGGAATTAACAGTTTTTCTCACAATTAACAGTTTGAATACTATCTTATTGATGGATATTTGAATGTCTTGTTTCAATACGGTAAAATAACAATTAAATAAATTGTTGTTTAACAATTCTTTCATAGAAATTTCTAACACTGCATCGTAAATGCGCGATTCTTTTTATCTAAACAGGACATAACTTGACCAGGGTTTAAAAAAAACTCTTAACTAATTATTACATCAAACGGTAATACATTTATTAAATTTGTTGCCCTATATATATTCGCAGCATGTCTGCTTCATTAAAAAAGAGTATGAAATAAAAAAAGCTACTCTATTTAGACTTTGAAATTTCCTTTTTTAGGAAACCCTATTATAATTATAATTATTTAATGCAGAAAAAGTACTGGGCAGCGATATTTATTTCCAGACTTTTACCTCAGAGAGTAAGAAAATAAAAAAAAATAATATTGCTTCAACGCTTTTTAATATATATTAAAATAAAATAGACTTAGATTCACAAAACTAAAATTCGAATAGTTATAATATTCAGATAGTCTTTAGAAATTGGATAGCCTAAATTTGAGGAAATGAGAACATAAATGCTAATACTTTGCTGAATTTGCAGCATTGGTTCAAATATTCTAAACGTAGTTTGCGTTTTATAAAGGAAAATATCTTTTTTATTAAATTAAAACTATATGTTTTATATAATGAAAAGTGTGCGTGCTATAATAGAAAAAATCTATTTTAAAAATGCAAAAACATTTATGGCATAAAAAAATTTCTTCTTTCTAGAAATAAATATATATTTTATAAAATATAAATTACCTTTTCATAATGTAAAATATTTGTTTTACTGTAATGTAAAAAACATGTGTTATAAAACCGAAAATATCTGTGTTTTTATTATAAGTAATATGAAATATATTAACAATTGTAAAATATTTAATTGTGTAAATGTTTTTTTTTCCATAAATGAATTAATTTAATTATAGTAAAATAATTAGCATTTTGTGAAACACTTTTAGTTTGACTGCAATGTTTCTTTTTAGATTAAAAGTTATTACTTTTCTAAAATATGTTTGTTATGAGTTGAAATTTTCTTAATTAAGTTAATATTACCAAACATAAAAGCATTAGTTCCTTATTCAAACTTAATTAAACTCCTTATTAAAACTTAATTTAATTCCTTATTCAAACTTAATTTTATTCTTCATTCAAACTTATTTAATTCTTTATTTACTTTATTTCAAAAAAATTAATGAAGAAATCCTTGATAATAACAATAATAAAGAGTTCGCAGCATATGACCACTTAACAATTCACGCAACACAACATACAAACAACTAATAAAAATCTAGATAAAAGAAGTTTTGAAAATGTGATATAATGCTAAGACCTAAATGAAGAAATTAGTCTTCTTTGTAATATTCGCTTAGAACAATGTCAAACTGTAAAATATCTTGTTTCTCTGAGCTAAGAGAAAAAATCGAGTTATACCAGAAAAGTTGAAACAGCAACAGTCAAAATTNTATAAAGGAAAATATTTTTTTTTAGAAATTGTAACTATATGTTTTATATAATGAAAAGTGTGCGTGCTATAATAGAAAAAATATGCTTTAAAAAATGTAAAAACTTTTATGGAATTAAAAAATTTCTCCTTTCTAGTAATAAATATATGTTTTATAAAATATAAATTACCTTTTCATAATGTAAAATATTTGTTTTAATGTAATGTAAAAAATATTCGTTATAAAACCGATAACTGTGTTTTTATTATAAGTAATATGAAATGTAGTAACAATTGCAAAATATTTAATTGTGTAAATGTTTTTTGCATAAATGAATTAATTTAATTATAGTAAAATAATTAACATTTTGTGAACGCATTAACATTTTGTGTGTTTGACTGCAATGTTTCTTTTTAGATTAAAAGTTATTATTTTTTTAAAATATGTTTGTTATGAGTTGAAATTTTCTTACTTAAGTTAATATTAACAAACATGAAAGCATACTTTGAACACATTTGGTTCCTTATTCAAACTTAATTTAGTTCCTTATTAAAACTTAATTTAATTCTTCATTCAATTTTAATTAAGTTCTTCGTTCAAACTTATTTTAATTCTTTATTCAAATTTAATTTAATTCTTTATTCAATTTTATTTTATTCCTTATTCAAACTTAATTTTATTCTTCATTCAAACTTATTTAATTCCTTATTTACTTTATTTCAAAAAAATTAATAAAGAAATCCTTGATACTAACAATAATAAAGAGTTCGCAGCATATGACCACTTAACAATTCACGCAACACAACATACAAACAACTAATAAAAATCTAGATAAAAGAAGTTTTGAAAATGTGATATAATGCTAAGACCTAAGTGAAGAAATTAGTCTTCTTTGTCAAACAATGTCAAACTGTAAAATATCTTGTTTCTCTGAGCTAAGAGAAAAAATCGAGTTATACCAGAAAAGTTGAAACAGCAGCAGTCTAAATTTGAAATTTGATTATTTTCAGCCTCAGTAACTATTATTTTCAGTGTAATGTGTGACACAAATACTATAGACTAACACACAAGTCAAATTGTACCTGAAGAGTTGATCCATTTGTGTCGGTAAAAATTTGTCCATCTTCAGTGGCAGCGACAGTAATGTTTTCTAGGGAATTTGTGATCAATTGCACAATATGCGATTCCTCCGAAGGCTGTGGCACCTAAATACGCAAAAACGCTTCTGGTAAAAAACAGAGAGATAATATTGATACATTTAGTATCAGCAATAATATTAGGATATTAAACACAAATTCTATGCAATATTTCTTAAATATCTTAACGATGCAGCAAAATTAAAACTGAACATAGATTAGACTGGTTAAAGAAAGAACTTTCATTGCGAATCGGTTAAAGACAGAAGAATCACCAGCGTTTTCATCTTTAATCGGCTAACTCTCTATCTAATAAATCTTAATCGACCCTAACTTACATTATATTTGTTAATAAAGGAATATTATTATGAAATGTAGAAATAGCTCTTGCCTGGAAAAGTGCATAAAAATTTCGAATGAAACGAAGCACTGATACTCAATTGAGGTTTAGGGCCATTGTCTGGTATTCACTACTCTAATTTATTTAGGAAAAAGTCCATTATATACAGATTATTATATTAGAACAACGCAATTTATTGATCAGTATACGGCGGGTACTTTGATGATAGCAAATGCAACTATTTCATATGATATTGACTTCGTAATTACATTACGAAGAACAAAATACTAACTTAGCTACATTGAGCCAAATATTGTATTCGTCCATTCTGTAATGCAAGTGATTTTTACACCGTATTACTTTAGTACGCTCTGTAATCATATATTGTCCTTTTTTTAAAACAAGTAACAAAAATTTCCGTGATAAATTAATTTTACCTCCAATTTATTGCAATTTTCAACAGTTTGCAATTTTGTTATCTAATTAATTTCCGTGACTATAATATATGTTAACAATCAGATGTGTGTGCTATAGTATAACCGGAATTCACTAAAGTATCACTATAGCCTCGAAATCACTATAGTCCTCAAGTGCAAAAGGTTAAAGATTCCTTATTACTTTAATTTTCAAAAAATATATATAGCGAGAAAACAAATAAAATTTTTAAAAATCTCGTTCATTTTTCAAAAAGAAAGTAAAAGACAATTTACAAATTTTTCTTTATGGCCTATCAGCAATAACAGCTTTGAATAAGCACTTTTTAAGAAGAAAACTTACATTTAAGATTTTCTGTATCTCAAACTTTTCATCGAGACACAACACCCAATCTCCTCCATAACTACATTTAAATCCATTTCTTGTTGCAAGTAAACACCTTATCGCTTTTACACAGTTATCATTTAGTCTATGGAGAGAGAAAAAATTGAATGTAATTAGCAAAGTTGGGAGGGTAATTGTATAAAATTTATAATATATATTCTTTTTTGATGAATTCAAATAAAATAGTAACACTGTTATGCGTCTTGGTAAATTTAATTTACATTGTTTGTATTAAAAAAATTTTAAGTGATAAAGTGGATTGTACCAGAATATAGTTCATATTTGTTGTAACCTAAATATATACTACATAATAAATACGCTACTTTTAAAAGGTAAAGTATGATGTGCAGTAAAATGTTAAGCGTAAATTAAAGCATGGAGTAACGCTTAAAGCAATGTGAAGCATAAAATATTCAGACAAATAAAACGTAAAGTATAAACCAAAAAACCAGTAAAGTATGGCTAAAAATGCAGCGTAAAGTATTTAAAGTACAAATTAAAATACTGCATGAAATAAATTATTAAGTAAGTGTAGAGTATAAAATAGGAGTAAAATGTTGAGAATAAAGTAAAGCAAAGCGTAAAATATAAATATAAGTGTAAATAAGAGTAAAGTGTAAAGTAAGATGTGAAATATAATGTAAAGTTTAGATGGGAAGTATAATATAAAGTGTAAATGTAAAGTTTAAACGGACTGTAAAGTGTATCGAAATAAATAATATTTTACATTAAAAAAAATTTAAAAAATTTTAGGAATGAAGTCGCTTCCATTGGCTATATTGTTAAACGTAAGAGCTAAGCCTAACCTTGGTTTAAGTTAGCGAATTCGGCGGACGTTTAAGGTTGTCCCGTATCGGAAATCCAGTTATATACAGTTACAAATTTTTGACAGATATTCCTACAAAATGTACACTGTAAAAACATTTTGGAAGTATGGCCATTTTTGGTGTTGAGGTAAACTAAATACATTTTAAAATACAGAATTGTGTTAATCGCGAAACAAAGTACACAAAATTGTCAAAAGTACTATTGTTTGAAAGAATTAGCGTGAATATATTGTTTAAAATGTGTTTATTTTTTAAACAAAGTGCTTTTGGAATGAAGCCATAAATTGATTCTTATCAAAATATGTGTTGTCAAAAAATAAACAAACAAAAAAATGAATAAATTAATAAATAAAACTATATCGATGAATAATTAAATAAAAATGTGACTACTTGCACAAATTTTAGTTTATCGAAACATCAAAAAATGGCTGCAACTATACACCAAAATTTTTGACAGTGTACATAGCAAACGTAAGATTTTTGCATGCACTGCAGGACGAATTAAATTATAGTATAATTAATTATCGCACAAACTAAAGCTTCACAAGCAAAATATAATGCATATTTCAAAGAATGATTATAAACGATATTTATGTATGTAAAACTTAAAATTATTGAACTATAAAAACGAACTTGTTTATTTTTTATATAATATTTTTTCATGTACCAGCTTTACGTACTCAAAATTAGTTTAGTGCAATTAAAAATACCGCTAGACTACTTAAGTGAAGTCGCCTTGATGCAAAATAAAAGCTTAATAGTTTATACAACAAAATAATCTTTGCACACACAATAAAACAAAATAATCTTTTTAATATAAAAGAATGAACAAAATTAGGAATTTGAAGAAAGAAATTATTTAATTTTGTGATTGAAAAAGTTTTTAAAGTTAATTTAAAAAATATACAAAAAAATATTTACTAACTTCAAGGCTTTTTTTACACTTTCTGTAACAGATACTTTCCTCAAAACAATGTTGTTTTCAATGACAAGAATTTCTCCTAATGAATTTCCGATGAGCAAATGAAGAGGATTATTTTGCCATGCCAGACTATGAAAAGACTGATTGGCACGTTCTTCGTCACGCAATTTCTCCTGGTATCGTGGCTCATCTTTGTACTTGTATATTCTAAGAAACTTATGACCGAAAACAACGATTTTGTTCGAATCGCTTGGACAGAAGCTAAACTGAAATCATAACATGTTTATTTAATTTCTATTCTATTGAAAAGTGAGTAAAAAATAAAGTAAATGCATTTATAACTTTTGTTCTAATGATTTGATCAATCTCAAAGACATAACCTTAAATAGGCTAATTCAAGGTCCCCACTAAGGACTTCAAATTATTAGCTAGCAAATTAGCCAAATATAAAAAGTATAAGCTAAATTTTAAATGTTTCAGCCAAAAGCAAATCTTAACAATTTTTTAAGATTGATTTTTTACATAAAAACTTGAAATCAAAATACAAATTTACTATAAATTGAAGTATTTTATAAATTCCAAATACAAATCAAGAATCATTTTGCAGTTAGGGGGGAGTAAATGTGAGGGGATAAGAATTGTAGATCTTGTTTTATCGAATTTAAGGAAAAGAAATAGAATTAGGTAGGATTTAGTTTTTGATGACTTTAGACTAAAGAAGTAATATTAGGATAAACATGAGCTACGTTATGTAATTATCACGTTATTTTATACGTTATTGTCACAAGAAAACATATTTTCTGAAAAAGTAGTCGAATATCTTGGAACCACTTGATCTGTTTTATTGACACGTGGTCATCTATATTTAACAGTAGCTCGTTCACATAATTACTCACATAATTACTAATTACTCTATAACAACTTTAGCTATTCGGGAATACAATTATTTAATTTAAAAGAATCTTAGGAATAAACGCATTTTCTTTAAATAAATCCCCAAAATGTTCCCAAAATTTGTTTTAAAAAATTGAATCCCCAAAATTTGCTAAAAAATAGAAGTTCTACTAAAATCTACAAAATAGGATTCCCTGTTAATCAAAAGGCTTTGTAAGCTTTACACCTTTCTTTCGACAGATTTGGATTTCTGACCCCCTAAATATAAAGAGTAGCCGTAATCTGCCAAATACGGTCCCAATAGTTGAGTCAGGAGAGTGGTCCAAGTTTGGACCCCTAAATCTTAATTTTACTTCTTGCGCATTTCGCCATATCTCGAAAACTTTTTAAACGAACGGAAAATCTTTTGTCAAAATTACAAAATTTCTTTATTTAACAATAATTTCATGCGATAAATGACTTTCAGTAAATGTTTATTGTTTTTTTTTATTATTTCATTTAATAATAGTTGAAAAGATTTGAATAGTTGGGCATACAATTATTTACGTCAATTTAAAGAATGCTGTTTTACATTAAAAAAAATACAGAAATAGAACGAAATTGGGTAAATAGTTCCTGAGAAATCAAATTTTAAAAATACGATTCTTTTTAAAAAATCAATTTCTCAAAGAATATTCCACCGATGTTTTTCAAATTTTGTATTTTGTCATGATAATTTTCATTCTTTTTTAGAATTAACATTAAGTGGTCTAAACTTCATACCGCTATCCTGACCAAATCATTTGGGCCCTATTTCCCAGATTGCAGCTAGCTCCTATATTTTGGGAGTCAGAAATTCGAATCTGTTGAAAAAAGGGTATGCTTATTCAGACAAAGCGCGTTTTTATGCCTGATTTTGTAACTTAAAATATCCTCCGCACTAATTAAATAGCATATTTGAGGTTAATCCCCTGAAACATTTAGATTGAGCCCTGAAACATGAAGATGCAATCATTAGATCAAAAATTACTCAGTGTGGTCAGTTTTTTTATTTTACGAACTGCGCAATACAATGACTTGGCTAAGGATGAAATAGATCAGTAACTCAACTGTTACATACCACGCTGTCTCATTGTATTAAATTGGAGTGTCACAAAAACAATGCTGCTTCAGTTAACGGACAACGCCTTCTTTGTAAACAATAGTTGAAGCTGTATGCTACGCTTAATCCTTAGTCCTTGTTATATCTGGTCAAGGCCAATTTATGAAAAAATATTTTATATAAAATATAAAATTTGATTCGTCACGTTTAACTCACTAACGGTTCTGCATGGAAAAAATCGTTAATTAACGTGCAATCTTCTCCACATAGCAAAACAGGTATTAGGTAGGGAGATAGTGTGTATAAAAACATCCTCAAAATTTTATCCATTTGCTAAACTGTCAGTGGGTTAAATTATATTAGTATATTTCAATTTTTCTTTGAAATATCACTGGATATTTTGAAATCAAAACTATCAATACTTTTAGGTTCGTTAGAGGTGTTTTTAATAATCATTTATACATATTTACGTTTCTATTATAATAATAAAAACAATGAAAACGTTTTAAGTTGTAAAGACAGTTTGAAACAAATATTGTTTTATTAAAAAATAAAATTGCATTCAATAATCTTAAAAATACAATACCGCACTTCACAACATTCAGATCTAATTTATTGTCCCAAGAGTGGCTCTTTAATTATTCGCAATTATTAATTATTATAGGCAGTAATCGTAACAATTGTTATTCGCAGTTATTTAACGGATTTCGAATTTCGTATTCAAAAAAGGCTGGGTCACTATAAATTAAACATAAAAAAATGAACTAAACATAGATTTTTTCTGCCTGCCATTAGTGGTAGAAAGCAGTGACGGCTCAGTGATAAACGAACTCAACTGTCATTGTGATAACCAGCGCTCGATTTTCAGAGGCACTTGAAGTCCTCTCAGATTCAAATCAACGATTACCAGCTTGTCTGGTTAGTAAAGGCGGCATGTGCGCTATGCTGACATTACCACAATCATGGCATTGGTTATGAAATTGTAAGACCTTAACCTCCATGATTAACTGTCTAACTACTGACTATTGTGGAAAGCCTTTACTTTACAATTAATACTATAATTGTCTTAGGAGATAGAGTGCTCATCTCCCAATTAGGTGACCCAGGTTTAAATCCCAGTGATGGCTGGTCAATACGAACTACACATCCGGCTCGAACCGATCACAGTGCTGACATAAAATATCCTCAGTAGTCGACGGATCATTGGTTAGAATTCTCTTGCCATTAGGTAAAACCGTGGGAGATCTTCGTGGGTTTTCCTCCCCATGTAACGCAAATTCGGGTTACTACCCTCTAAAAGTCCTCCAAGAAGGCAAACTTTCTTCCAATACTTTATCCAAGAGTTCCCTTATCTTCTGGATTGGGTTCAAAATTGCAAAGCTAAGGAGTTGGACATTGGTAGTCGTAATCTCAAACTTAGGTCGGCTGTTCAACGACGGTTACAAAACGGTTTTCATAAAAAAAAAACTTTTTTTGTCATAAGAGAATCAAAAAAATTCATTACATTATAAGCTTTAGCACCAGGCTCTAATCGGATGGGATGGAACACTCTCTCAAATTGATGCTTTTTCCACTGCCAAATAGCAAACGCCCAATCAGGATATCCACCTTGTGCTCCTAATCTCTCTTCATCAGGCGATAAAGACACGGCTACGTACTCATCACTGAAAAAAAGAACTTTTTTTTTCCTACTGTGCACACGAAACATAAAGTTATTCAAATAAAGCTATTACAAACTTGGGGGTAAAGAATGAGATATTACTACTCGAATTAGGAAAGATTGAGAATTGCATTGCAACCCATGGTCGAAAATCCTTATTATAGACAAGCTGCTTGAGCGCATTTGAACCGATACTTTTATGGTACTTTCTTTGCTGGTTCCGGTACCTTTTTTTGCTTCTCTAAAAACTGTAGCCAAAACTTTTCCTTAATGAAATGATTCAACGTAATTTATTGATTTGGGGACAAATCTGCAGAGCTTGCCAATTTGGTAAACTACGATAAAAACAGGCCTTTTTTGGTCTATTTGAATGCAGTTAAAATTAAGATTTAAATATGTTAAAAGTACCGGTTCAAATAGGACCACCCAGTGTTTAATATTAAAACCTCCTTGCGGTCTACGATTGCATTTTCGGGCATGAATTAAAATTCTTCGAAGTTAAAAAGAAATTTCTAGGCAGACAAGTCCGTTTCTTGGCAATTAAGAATTAAAAATGTAGTATCTGTGCGAAAAATCAAAACGTTTAGCAAACATTTGATAAAATTTCTCCTTTTCAACGCAGGTTGTATCCTTGTCAGAGGGCTCACATGGAAAAATTCTGCGATATAAAGAGGAAACTTCTACGCAGACTAGTCCTTTTTTCAGCAATTTTGAAGAAAAATCTGGTATCGGTGTGGGGAAAAAATTTAGCATACTCTTTACAGTATGTTCTCTGGTGAACATAGTTTTCTGAGTCGAGAATGTTTGATTTCAAAAAAAATTTATTAAAAGAAAGAATATATGTAAAGACAAAAACTTGTCCACATGTTTAAAAGTAAGATAGATATAAGCAGTAAATGTGCTAGTTTATAAAAATGAAATAATGCCATTGCATCCTTAAATAATCCCTTAACTCAAGACATTTTGGATTGCCACCTCCAACTTGAATACCTAGCATCCCTTAAGAAAACTATTGTTCTCCAGTGGGTTCCTGCCCATTGCGGGGTTACGGGTAATGAAAATGCAGACTACTTCGCAAAAAAGAGAGCCTTAAGTATTTAGACTTCTGCGCACATTATGCCCTTCTGCTCCATCAAACAGCTGATTAAGAGGACCTTTAAGACCTGTGCTCATGAAGAACTTATCAACCGTCCTTCTACCAAGTCTTGGAGGGCTACCATCCCAAATTTGCGAAATAACCCAAGACAAAGAGCGGTGGCTGAATTCCGCTTGGCCACCGGTCATGACTGTCTGCGAAAACATCTGTCTAGATTTGGTATCGTTCCTTCCCCGGTATGTACTCTTTGCAGTTCTGGTGAGGACATGGACTCCACGCACCTTCTCCGCTGCTCTGCACTTTGAAAGAATTCAATCACTGAACGCTATTGGGAAGCTAGAGACATGTTGTGATTAATGAACTTTGTTGCAGCATCTTTTGTTTCTGTTCTTATTTTTATTCGATGTTTACGCGTGCTGTTACAGTCTATAATCTGTCATTAGAAATAAAAAAGAAATTAAAAAATGAAATAATATATTTAACATATTAAACAACCTACCTAATAACTTTATCAGCTTTCGGTAAAGCTCTACTTTCTCCTGTTGACAAGTTTATAACCATTACTTTGCGGTCCGGACCCTTTGAACATACAATTAGATTTCCATTGGCGCTCAAACACAGAGCAGTGATGACAGTATTAACAATTATAGGTTGAAAGGTTTGCTTATGGGTCTTCAAATCGTGGAAGACTCCTTGCTGCCCAGACAAATAAAACAATGTGTTGACATCAGAGAAAACAATGCCGTTCTTTACTCTATGGCTATATCCCAAGATCTTACGAAGTTGAACACAGCTGGAACTGATTGCGATAGGCTTTCTTGAACTCATTCTAAATTAGAAAACAAACACTAGGGAAATAAACCGTTAAAAATCTCTACAAATGCGAAAATATCCATTAAATTTTATACATTGAATATTTATATGTAAGTATAGAAAGGATTTTCATAATAAAATTATACAGGGTATTTCATCATTTCCACTCTTATATTTTTTTAAAAATTTTCTCGTAAAGGGAAATGTAACTAAATGAGAAAAACAGCAATGTGGAAACTAATATGTGGTTTCTAAAATTCTGTTGACGGTTTTTAAAATTTACAACAGCTAAGCTGTTGAAACTTTGAAGATCAAATCTCGAGCTTTATCATCTAGAGCTTTATCACTCATATAATGAGCCGGACATTATTAACTTTATAAAGCGATAAAGAATAAAATGGGCAGGCAGAATAAAATAGGTTATCAGAATGGACGAAGACCGTACCACAAAAAGAGTTTTCAACTTTTCAATGCCAGACCAGTTGGCACACGAAAAAGAGGCAGGCCGAATTTCAGATGGATAGATGGCCTAGAGAAGGACTTTTTGTCTTAAAAACTGAAAATTGGAAAACACTAGCAAAAAAAAGATTAGCCTGGAGAAAACTTATTGAGTAGACCAAGGTCCACTCTGGGCTGTCGAGTCATTGATGATGATGAAACTGTTAAAAAAAATATACATTCTACAGAAAATTCGTGAGACAAGACGTTGATTTTTACTCTCTAAATCCTTGATATGAGTTCAAAAACATTTCTGACAGATGGCGCTGTAAATCTTTTTAACCGTTCTTCTGTTTCGTTTTAATGCATATGCTGGGTTGTTTATTTGTAGCATGAGTGTTTGTATTATTATGTTCAAGTACTGATCAAAAGATAGTAGGTTCGAGTACTTGAGTCTCTCTAGTCTTTCTTGTTTGCTTGGTTTACAGATAGTGGACATTTCGAAAATTTTATCTTGTCATCTGTTAAAATATTTCAGATTTTTTCAAATTAGTAGTTTCCAATTATTTCACTTTAATCTAGATATTAAATCTTCAGTGCTATTTGCTGAAAACATTTTGGACTAAAACCAAGAATTCAGAGTAAAAGAATTTTCTGCGACTGTAAAAAAACTTATTAACACAGCGTCTACACTGTAAAAAAACTTGATAAATCTATAACTAGTAATTGGAGCAAAGTATCTCATTATCCCAAAGTTTGGTTAAATGAAAGGTTATTTTGTTTTTGTTGCACGATAAATTGTTAAGTATGATCGAAAAATACTTCCATGGGCCAACTGACAGCACCAAAATTTGGTAAAAGACAGAGAACTTTGATGGTTACTGTAAATTGAACGATATTTGTTTACGACGCTGTGTTTTCTTTGTAACTCGGTCTCGGTGTATAGGGACGACTAATGCATGCTGTTTCAAACATCAATTTATTTAGGTTGGTAAATGTTTTATTTGCATTAATTAAAGATTGTTCTTCTTATGTTTTCTCCTTAATATGGTTGGCGGTATAAAATGGTTAGAGGTATGTCATTAAATAAACTACCTACGGTAAATAGTTTTACTATGGTAAATAGCAAACGTCATCTGCATTTGGGTACTTTCAAAATACTTAATAATGGTGCAACCTTCCTCTGCTTTTATATATAAAAAAAGAATGGAAATAGGTGTTTTGTTTCTTCAAAATACCTATTCTTGGTGAAACCTTCTATTGATATTTGGAGCTAATGAAAGTACCGAAATCTGGTGAAATTGAGATCCATATTATGTGGCCAGCAAATGAATACCAATTTTTCGTGCGTACAACGTGGCTTGGAATTTTTAACAGTGCATATTAATATATTAAGTATCTATTACCAAAATAACAGTAAGACTTATTGCAATTATTTACACATCACAGCTGTCAATAGTAGTTAGGCAAATTTATTACAGCTAATATATTTGTTTAATAAAAATAAGATTCCACCAGGTTGAAATAAATAACCGGCTGATGCATTAATGGCAAAGGTGCCTTGAAGTATAGAGCTTTGCTTGACACCCAAGCTTTGCTAGACACCCAGCCAACGACGAAGTAACTTCTAAGAGACGTTACATTCTCAATTTTTTTCAACCAACTTATGTTTTAACGTTATACTGATGAAACTTATCACAGAAATATCTAAAATCTTTCTATCGGTAGCAGTGCCAAGACGCTCGATAACTTAGCACTGATCTAGCACACAAGAAATCAGAAAAAAAAATCAAATACTTTAGTAAGTTTTAGGAATAAAAGTCATGGCCAGCTTAGAGCAAACCTCAACTGATTTTTATTTATTTATTTATTTATTTATTTATAATAAATAAGAAAACGGGTATCTTGGCGATTTTAATTGCCACGAACACACACCGAAGAGGAAATATCCCTTGGAAATATTCTACAATTCGGTCGAAACCTACAATTATGTGAGAAATTGAATCGACAATATTTTATGGTGCTACCACTATTATCGCCTAGTCTTTTGCTGATATTGTTAAAACACGAACTAGAACTGATTAAGAACACAACTGAAAATATTAAAGCGTGAACTGGAACATAATTAAAACACAACTCTGTTTGAAAAAACTACCAATACTAACGTTAAAAGCTTAACAACTTTTTAATAATCTTAAACATAGCAGTTTTACCAAATAATAAACATCATACTCAAGAACAAATCAAAACTGAAAAAACATCAGTGGCCTAACTAAATCACTTATCGTTTTGTAATTTATTATCGTTTTCAAATTCCAGAAAAATAAATGATCTAGTTCATCGCTTTTAACAGATATGGTGATTTATGACAACCCGTGTCATCTTGTTATGTTTCTACGTATTTATTGTTTTATGTTTATGTAGTTCTTTTATGTTTTGATTTCTGATTATATTTTATAGTATTATGTATTCAGGGTCATTTTATTTAGAAAGGCAGAAAACGTAAACACTATTGCCGCTAAAACAAAATTACCAATTATCGCCAAGTGCACCACGAAGTTTATTTTTCCCTAAAAATCAAATGTATTTGGGAAATTAGGTTTTACGTAAGGGATATTTTCGTTTACTTCAAAATAATAATAGCAACCACGAACTCACTAAATTTTAAAAAAGCTTATAACATTAAAAATCAACAAACAAAAAAAATTCAATAAATATAACATCGTAAACAGAAAAGCCATATTTGTTTCTAACACATAGTTTTTCTTTATTATTTTCCATCTCCATACAATTGACTCGAATTAAAATGAAAAAGATTTTTCACAAAAATCAATGAACATTAAAGAATTCATAATAAAAAAAATATTGCAGTCTTACTTTAAATTTGGTTATAGAAAAATCCTGTTATAAAGAAAATAAAGTTATTGTTTGATTCAAAAGGTAATAAAGAAAACAATATTCACCCAAGCACTTTTCAACAAACAATATTCAAAGCACTTTTCCAATCATAACTTAGATTGAAAACATAAACAACTGCACTCGCTTACACACATCAAATAATGTTACCAGATTCAATAAACGCTTTTATTAAATAAAATAACTTATCTGAGCTCGATCTCTGATTCATTGATCGACGAGATTTAAATAAATAAACAATCGAAACTAGAGACTAGAAAATAAATAAAATGAATACAATTAAAACGTTTATTAAAATTAGAGAAATGAAAATGGTATCAGTTTCTAAAAATGGACGAAAGTATTATGTTCAATTATTCAATTTCGAAGTATTTTATTCAATTAAAAAATAAGGAAAAATCATTAGTAGTTTCACATGTAGTCTTTAGTAGTAAAATTCTTTGGCATTTCATTAGTACTCGGATTTCAAATTCAATTCATCCTGAGTTATTAAAAGAAGTAATACACGCCTTTTTTATTGGAATACCTGCAAGTGACGCAGTGTGGACTTCTCGATCCTGATTGGTTGCTGAAACGTATCATTTGTTTATGTTAGTAAGTGTTCTTTCCATTCTGCTTTAGTAAGCCAAAACCTTCTAGTATCAATTTTCTTAAGTGACATATTCTATATTCCTTTTCAAAGATTTCAATTCTTTCACTATATTTCTTACTTAACCTAAAGACAGGCATGAAGCCATGTAGAACATAAACAAATTAATTATGCATCGAAGTTGCCCAGTACACAAAGCAAAAATATATCATAGTCACAACAAAATGCATAAACAAATATTAAATCTAAGTTAAGTGAAATAAGTAGACGAGAAAGAATTATCTTTCAACGAATTCGATGTGCGGTGCTGTACTTACTTGACTTAACATTAATTAAACTTCTAACTTAGTGGAGAAACTTAGCTCAAATTTAACATGGCATTTTGTCTATAAACGATCTTACGTAAATCAAATTAATAACTTTGTACAAATTAAACTGTCCACTTATTTGCTACTATTTACTATGCAGTACATTGAATTTCATTTCTAAGGGGGTTTTTTTCTCAAAACGAAACGAATAAACTGTTATAGCTCTCTTTAAGTTAAAAGAATACACAGATCTAAAAATCAGTAAACATTTAAAAGCAAGAAAAACTTACTGGTGAAACTAAGAAAACTTACAAGAACTAAAAATAACTTAACTAGGTAAATGAGTATTCACGTTAAAAAGCTAAAATAGGATTTTACATTCATTTAGCGCGTTTAATCGGTAGTTTAAATGGACTTAAGCTTACTAACCAATTTTATTTAACTTTTTTAAGCCTAAACGAAAGATTTTTGCCCTTAAAAATTCTTACTTTCTCGATACTGAGACCCAGGGGTAGAAACTTTCTGATGTAAGTCCTAGATGTTCTCGAATATATAATTCACGTACGTTAGGGGCCTCTATCCCTATTGGAACTCAATCTCTCATCTTCTGCTTATCGGTTATGAGGGACTGTGGTGAAAGAGCTTTCGACTATGCCAATCTTCATCTATCTAAAGGTACCTCGAAATAAAATCGAGTTTACATGTCTTATATACTAGTTAATTGATGTTTAATAATCATGGTGGTAGTCACCCTACAATACTCC